TGGCTGGTCACTGTGGGGCATGGCTGGTCATGAGGCATGGCTGGATATTATGGTGCATGACCAGTCACTGGTGCATGGCTGGACACTGTGGGGCATGGCTGGTTACGGTGGGGCGTGGCTGCCAGTGTAAATTGAGCTGATTTTTGCCACCAAACCTTAGTGCCACTCGGTTCGTGGTCAGAACTCTGCTGTTACACTTGGTTCCCTGACCAGGAAGGCCAACTGTGCTGGCCATTTGGGGCTCTGGGCAGAGCCCCCACAGAAGGAGGCCCCTTCTGGCCCTTCAATGAGATAAGTACACCGCCTAAATATTTTTGGAGTCTCCTTGGGGGACCAGGGAAGGACACCCTGTTTGCTACCTGCAGCTCACCGGTCCAGAGAAGAGAGGACCCAGAATCCAGTACTGCCTTCAGACCAGGTAAGATCCCCAGGGCACTCCCAAGTCAGACCAGTGCCACCAGACCGGAAGACAGGAGAGCCTGCTCACCTCCCATCAGAGTGAGGACTCGGGGCGAGGAGAGACTGTGTTAGCCTCTGAGTAGGTGCTGAGTGTGCGTGTGAGTGCAATGGGCGGTGTGAGCCTCAGACTGTCCCCTCTGCGCAGTGCCACAGTAAGCCAGCCAGCCAGGGAGCCTGAGTGGGCCCCAACCTGCGGTTCTGGGGACACTTCTAGGGGACACAATGGAGGCTCTAGTGACGAGTGTCTCCTTGGCCTGGCTGGCCCTGAGTTGCCGAGGCATAGCCGGGCAGGCTCCTGAACGGTCTCTCCTCAGGGGCACCCACGTTGGCCTGTCGTGGCTTGGTTCCAAGGCGCACCACGTACATGCCATGAGCCCGAATGTGGTCTAACAAGTCACAGCTTGCACTTTGGCAATGTATCCTAAAATCAAATTTTAAAGGGCTATTCTGATAATTACAAAGTTAAAATAAACCGACGCCCTGTGCCTTAACAAAGACCCATTCATCCTGAGGAGTCCTCCTCGGCAGATGTGTCACCCCTTATTGGCCAACACCGCTGCTGCCAGTACCTACAGTTTCACCAGCCAGTGCTTCTCCTCTTCCTTCTGACTCCTCTATGTCCAGCCGGCTGAACCATTTCCGCCACCAGCCCTTCTGTTGACAGCCCTCTGCCAGTGCTGACACCACGCCAGCCTGCCTCCCACCCCCAACTCGGGAGGAGGCAGGCAGTCACTGCCTGCGTCCAACCACCAAGGTCCCCAGAGCCCTTCAGCTACCCTTACACACCTATCCTGGCCAGACGGTATCATCTAACACCCACTGGGATGGCTGTCAGCAATCCTTCTGACTCTGTTCAACACAGAAATGCCACCACATTTTGACTGAGAGAAGAACTGGTGAGAGGGAGTGGATCCTTGATGGAATGTCGGTGCTGGCGGATGGGCTGCCCTGGCCTTTCTCAAAGGTCACCCCTCCCAAAACTACAACATGCCAGCAGTGGAAACAAAGCAATCCAGTCAAGAGCTTCTCAAAGGCATCAAAGAGGGAGACAAAAACCCATTAATATGTGAGAAATTACTATCCAGAAGCTTGATAAGAGTCCTTCAAACTTTCATGAGCAACTCTGAAGCCTAAGAGTCTACATTCCTTTTGACCCTGAGGCCCCAGAAAATCTACAGATGGCAAATGCATCCTGCATTGCACAAAAATTACTTCATGCCCTCTAGAAAATTCAGTCTGGCAGATGAACATACCCTCTGGCCAAAGACCAATACACAAGGAATAAGGGCTGCAGACCCTAGAAAAGCAAATGCCCATTCAGATTAAAAGATAAAGACTTCATCCCGGATCACAGGACAGCCCAATGTCTAATGCACCAGGCCAGGCTCCCTTCTCTAGCTGGGTCCCCAAGAGCCCACAGTTCCCATCGGTATTGGGGGCCAACCTGTGACTTTCCTGGTGGACAATGAACTGGAACACTCCGTAGTCACCTACCCTATTGTCCTTCTGTCAGGAAAAGGTTGCCATTACTGGGACAGCTGAGACTCTTGCCTCTTGCCCCTTCTCAGGCATGAACTTGCAGCGCGCATCTCACCGGTCATGAATTCCTGTATATGCCAGAATACTCTGTACCACCTCTAAGAGGAGCCCTCCCCTCTATGTCACGAGCAGCCGGCTCCTTTGTGCCAACCCAGTCGGCCCCACTGTCATTTACCTTTTGTCTTCAAAGTTTGTCCTAACTCTGGCTGTTCCGGGAGAGAAAGGATAATGCCTGCATCAACCTGAGACAATCGCAGTCCTGAAATTGCAAAGCACCTGCCGGAGGTATGAGCCGAAGACTCCTTTCTCGGCCTGGCCATCAGCCATGCTCCCATGGTGACTGAATTCTGCCCCAAGTACTGAACCACCCTGCTTCTGTACTACGCGTCCAAGAAACAGAAAGGTCTGCACATGGCGCCTGAGCGTAAGGACACGAAGGCCCTGCTCATAAGGCGCTCAAGAAATGGAGCTGTTACGATCTCTTCACTGGCTTAAGGCCTCGCTGTATCTGTCTGCAGTCTACCAAACTCCCGCCTCAGTGCCTGTCATGCACGAGGGCCCCATGGGATCCAGCGTTCCAGGAAGCACATTGCTGTTCTCTGGTTACTCCACAGTAAGCAAGTGGGGAGGAAACGACATGGACAAATAAAGTTCTTCTCTGACTGTCCTTAACCACCATTAAAATGGGCTCTGAAGTGGGCTGGGCCAGGCGGAAGCCCTGGCTTCTCCAAACCACAGCCGGATCGTTCTCCCCGCCCGCACATCTGGAGACAATCAAGCCAGAGGCTTGATCCCATGGGCTTTGCAGCTGCTGCCCACAAAAGCACTTGGGGCCCCGTCACCACCCACCCGAGTGCACCTGGTCACGCGCAGGGTCACCTACAGGTGGTCGTTAACACAGCGGTACTGGAACCCCATGGCCTCCAGTCTCTCCTCCAGGATCTTCACGCTGCCCTCGCCACAGGATTCCCTAAATCAGAACAACATGTTTTCAACAGCGAATAAACAAAGGGTGAGGAGTGCAAGAGAGAGAAGCTGATTCTAAGTGGACTGACTTTTGCCAAAAACACCTCTTCGAGGCAAGGTGGGAAAGTGTCGGGTTCCAGGAGTGCTGCTTCCGGGGAACCTGCGGTGTCCCAGAGGGGACGCTCTGAAGACCCGAAACCGCACGTGAGGCTGCGCTCCCAGCGCCTGCGCGATGCGTGTCTTACCCAGCCCAGGATCACCGGCCGTGGTGCGGCCCTGGGGCTGCACCGACAAGGCTGTGACCCTGGTCACCCTCCAGTGTGTTAACACACACCCTTTTAAACATGAGAAAATGGAAATGAAAGACAAACTTGCCCCAGATCCCCCACCCTACATCACTAGAGCTAGCTGCTGCAAATATTTTCATGTACACCGGTACCCACTTATCCACGCTTTTGCTGTCATGATTTTTAATGCTAACCCAAAAATACTAAGTGAGGAATCCCCACGATAAATGCTTCATCAGCTTTAGATTGCACGGCACTCTGAGGAGCAGGGTGATGCCTCTCCCTGTGCTCATTCACAAGATATGAGTCACCCTCGGTCTATCACCAGATCCACACTGTCTGTGCCACCTGTTTATCAGCCACCTAATGGCCATCTGTCATAGGATGGCAGTCGGTGGCCTCCTTGAGTGTAGATTATCCTGATCCTGTCGATAATGGCCCCAAACCGCAGGAGTGGCGATGCTGATGATTTGGCCCCACTCAGAGACGCCGCAAAGTGCTTCCCTTAAGGGTCTAAGTGTTAATTAGAAAAGAACAAAAATCATGGTGAGCTTGCTCAATGCCACGGGAAGAGCACACCTATTCGTGCAAGTGGAAGAAGGGAAAAGAAATTTAGGCTGCTTTTTCTGTCACACCTGAAACTGCCAAAGTTATGGCCACAGTAGTGATAAATCATTTTAACTCACAATGCAGGCACTGAGCTCAATGTGCAATTCAGTGAGCTATTTTGAGAGGGACCATATTTGCAAATTTTGTTTTACAATATATTACTATTACATTTTATTGTCAGTTATTATTTTTAATATTTATTGTACTGAACCTGTAATTTATTTTTTAAAATTTATTTATTTATTTGTATTTTAGGGAAGGGTCTACAGGGTGTCCAGGGTCTCACTACTAGATTGGACTCACAGTGATCCACCTGTTTACAGCCTCCCAAGAGCTGGGATTACAGGCACACACCACCATGCCCAGTCTCAATTGTTGGCTCAGCGGCCCTGGAACGGCAGGCCCAGGGATCAAACCCCCAGCCCCTGGACCTGCTTGCAGGCGCTTTAATCTGCTGAGCTATTTGACTAGCCCTGAACCTGTAAATTTTTTTTAATCTTTTATTTATTTGGTACAGTGTCTCGCTACCCAGCTTGGACTCATAATGATCATCCCGTCTCAGACTCCCCAGTGCTGGAATTACAGGCATGTACCACCACACCTAGTTTGGGGTCCTCACAGGTTCCAGGGCCTGTACCACATGCGGTATCAGGGATCAAACCCAGGTCCCTGTGCTTGCCAGGCAGATGCTTAGACCACCAAGCTATCACCCCAGCACTTAGCCTGTAAATTAAACTTTATTATAGATATGTATGTATAGGGGGAAAAAAGTAGCCTTTATCAGGCTTAGTGCTATCTGAAGTTTCACACTTCCTGGAAGATTTTTGGATCATATTCCCATAGATGAGGGCTACTGTGAATCCTTCGAGGCTTTTTAAATATACCAGTGTGTTTTGTTTTTTGCTAAAACATACACACACACATCTTTCTCTACCATTATCTTTCATCTGTGTATGATCTCCCTGACATAAACAGATCCTAACTTACAACAGGTTCCCTTTTTTGAGGACCTGATTGATTCTTATCTCTCAACTCAATTTCTATCCAATGCACTTTGCTGAAAACTCATCACCATCGTGCACCTTGTGAAGCACTTGATTCCTTGGATGAAACTTCTCTCTTGTCCTTTTCTGCAGGACCTGAGTCATTCCTTAGGCTCATCATCAAAGCCACACTGGAATGCTACCTGTTTAGCAGTCCCTTAATGGCCATCTTGGTGACCAGAGGAACTATTATGGGTAGCAGTCCTAGAGTGTCAAAAATCCTCTGTCAATAATGGCCTCAAAACACAAGAGTAGTGATTTCATTTCCTCCCTCTCTCTCTCTCTCTCTCTCTCTCTCTCTCTCTCTCTCTCTCTCTCTCTCTCTGTTTTGTACCAGGAATCAAATGCAGGACCTCATGCTTGCCAGGCAAGTGTGTGTCACTGAGCTATATACTTAGTCCTGTGTTTTCATTTCAGTTACTTTTTTCTAATAATGGCAGCTAACATCTGTTTAGCAATACTCCCCAATACAATACAATTTTATTGACTAAAATCTCTTGTTATCCCTAAAATTTGGGCAGCCCAACACCTCTGCTTTCTTGGCTGGTGCCCTGCAACCACGTTTACCCTGGGCTCAAACTTACCAGCAAGTGTTCTGACCCTTCTAGTAACTTTGCCCTCAGCAGAAATGATGAGCTAAGATGACAACCAATTGCAATGTCCTACTCTCACTGAGGTGGTGCTGAAGATCAAACTTTCTTTAACAGATACATTAAAAAATATATAAGCATAACCTCTAGGCAGAGAACAACAACAACAAAAAATAATGAATGTCACAATGGATTTCCTGCACAACAGCAAGCATAACTTTTCTTCAGGGAAGGGAAGTGCTGGTCTTAGTGTAACTTGAGTAATATGCAGTTTGCAAATTCATTGCAGAGTTCTTGTTGCCCAAGAGCCATGGAAAAATAACTCCTATGGTGAGTCTTACAGGGCATAGGAAACAGAATTTGCAGGAGGTCTTCCTCTTGGGGCACATGTTTAATGGCACGTCTGTTCCTGGAGTTGCGTAATTCTGTCCTCCACATAGCATCAGTGCTCTGAAGAATAAGGTCTCAGCTTACTTCCGGCGCCCAATTCTGGCTGCTTTAAGACATGGTCTCATTGAAACATTTTTCTTTTTCTTTCTTTTTTTTTTTTTTTTTTTTTTTTTTTTTTTTTTTGTATCAGCAATCAAACTCAAGACTGTGCATTTGCTAAACAGGCAATTAAGCTACTGAGCTATCTTCCCGGCCCCCTTACAACATTTCTGAATCAAACAGATCTGTTATTTTTGTCTTGTGTTTGTGCCTGGAGTACCCTTTATTGGGGAGACATGTGAATTCAGCTTGTACTTACAGACAAACTCAAGAGGTTTCCCAGAAAAACACAGATCTTGAAACCTTCTTTACAGAGGTTATCTGAGACTCAGTGGTAGGTCTCAGATTTGATTGTTCTCTGAGAATAAAACCTTCCTCATGGAGTTCTTTGGTTTACTCAGAGGATCCTGCTGAGGACATTTGGGTTTCTAATGACCAGAAAGAGAAACTGGGCTTCAAACCTCACATATGTGTAAGGAACTAATTCAGTGTTCAGAGCTGCCCAAGTCACTCAGAAAAGATCTCTGTGCTCCCTGGCTGGATAAAGGAAGTTTTCCCTCTGGGATCAAAACTGGCTAGTGGCATTCTCAGAACATCAGGTCCCTGTCTCTCTCTACCAACCACACTAGAAACAGAAGCCCCAAGCTGGAAGTGCAAAATGAACCTGACTGTACCAAATCGAAGAAAAACATAATTATCACCATCGATAGCACCAAAACTTACACATTAGGTCCCCCGATTTCATGCATGACCCAGATTTCAATTCGTGTGACTTTATCCTTCTGCAAGTATGGAATTTCAAAATCTGCAAAAAAACTGAGAGACAAAGAGAGTTGATTTCATTTTTCCCTTTGGCAATGCGTCCCAGGGACCCCAGCCTGGAAAAACATTCCTGGAAGTTCTAAATCATGGTGGAGAACCGTGGCACACGTGCCCTCTCTGTCACCAGCAGCCAAGCATCTGGTATTCAAGTACAATTGAGGGTTGGTACTTTCTGATAAGCAAGTAGCTTTGGGGTTGCAGTTCTGGCACTTGGTCTCTAAAACGTTCGCCATCACTGTTCTAAAGCAATATAACTGATTCCCTTTAGTTGATTTGCAAGCTACTTTTCAAAAGGGTTTTTGGGGGAGGTGGCTCAGTAGTATAAGTACTTCCCTGGCAAGCACAAGGGTCTGCGTTCAATCCCCAGTTGGGCCAAAAAAAAAAAAAGGGGGGGGGGTTCTGTGGGCCAGCCAGATAGCTCAGCAGACTAAGGTGCCTACTTAGGCAGGTACAGGGACCGGAGTATGATCCTTGGCATGCTGTACTGGCCCCAGCCCCAGAGCACTCTGAGATTAAACATGGTGGCGCATACCTGTAATCCCAGAGCTTGGGAGGTTGAAAACAGGAGGATCACTACAAGTCCGATCTGTGTAGTGAGACCCTATAGACCCTGTACTAAATACATAAAATGGGGGAGGATTCCCTAAGTTTTTATTTCAGGGCACATTTTATTTAATATCAAAAGTGTTAACACGAAAGGCCCAAGTACAGTGAAGTGACCCATTTCCCCATGAACACCAAAGACAATGCTCACAACATATCCATGTCGAACAGGATATGGGCCTCATAAAGTTCGCTACTGCAAAGAATAATGCAGTGAGTCCCATTGCAGCCAATATCCATATACAACCTAGCTGTGAAGGGACTGTGTATAATGCTGCAAACCGCGGAAGCCTAAACGTGATACCGTCCCTCCCTCCTTGTGCATCCTTAGCTAAGGTTACCTCACTTTTGCAACCATTGAGAGAACCACTGATACAAACCACAATGATTTAGGTGCCAGTAATTGGTATAGAGCCCTAAGCTGAGTGGTTACCATCTTTCAGCTCCATCATGACTATTAAAGTTGGTTCTCTGCAAATAAACCCTTCAAAGGCAGAATTCCCCGCATTTGCGTTTTGAGCCAGAAGGGCAACAACAGTGGCACAGCCCACAATCTGATTAGCAAAACTGCCAAGCAGGGTCTCTAAGTCACAGTGCTCGATTAAGAGCGGAGCATGGGGGCTGGGGAGATGGCGCAGTAGGATAAGTGCTGGCCCGGCAAGCACAAGATCCTGAGTTCAATCTCTGGTTCCGCCAAAAAAAAAAAAAAAAAGCAATGCACGTTCCCTTTTTGCATTTATTTTTTCCATTTGTACTTTTAACTGGGATTTTACACATTCAACCCATGATCTGAAATCTTTAGGTTTTCAGTCCCCTAAACTGCTCTAGGACATAGCAGGCCACAGGCTCAAGACTTCTGTTTCTCACTCTACTTTCCTCAAGCAGAGGCATTCCTCAGAGCCTACATGTCCGAGAAGGGGGATTTTCAAAGGAGGCCTCTTCTTCAGAATTGTCCAAAAGCATCACGCCTCTGAAGCAAGGAAAAAAAGCTGAAACACAAGGTTCTCCTGGGAAGTTTTACATTAACCATCACAAGGTGGACAGTACAAGGATAGGGCTTTTTTTTCCTCTCTCAAAAAGTGTGAGTTGAGCTGGGGACATAGCTCAGTGGTCTAAGCACCTGCCTGGCAAGTACAAGAACCTGGGTTTGATACCCAGTACTGCATGCCATGCTGGTTCCAGAACCCTGGGAGTGCCGTGTGGGCCATGGAAACTGGGCATAGTGGTGCATGCCTGTAATCCCAGTGCTGGAAAGGCTGAGACAGGAGGATCACTAGGAGTTGGAGCTACACAGTGAGACCTTGTACTAAATAAATAAATAAATGATTTTTAAAAATGTCTTGGCATGGAAACAAGAAATTCGCTGAGCCTCCACAGCTTTCTCCTAGTGGGGCTGTCAGGTAAATCCTGACTGGGGAATATGCTCAATTTACCAATCTGAAATCAACTTCCAGGCACTGGGTCCATCGGGGGCTTGTTCCAGTCTGTCTTTCACCTGTTCCAGTTCACTATTCCTTTCTAGAAAGCACAAGGGCATCGTTGTGTTCAGCTTGGCAGCATTCGGCCACTGGCCGGCTTGAGCCCTGGGCGTGAGTGGCTCACGCTCGTCCTCGGCTGCTGGTCGTGTTGCAAGGCCGCTTCTCTGCACCAGACTCTTGCTGTTGCTGCTTTAGCTTTTCTTCAGGCTCCCTGATGCCAGCCACATCACCTAAGAGCTGCGTCCCTGCCCTGCAAAGCCTGAGTAGATGCTTTCTACTATTTCCATTTTAAAATTAACACATTTTCCACCCTAACTTTGAAGTCTATCTCACTCAGTCGAGCCCTTCTGGGAAGAGGTTCTTGTGGGTCATTTTAAATCTGTGGAGTCTCCTGCAGGGTGTGACTAGGTCCCTGGGGGTGGAAGGTGAGGGAGGCCTGGAATAAAGAAGCAGCTGCAGCCCCCCAGCAGGCCCCAACCCGGTGCTGGACTCGGGTGGGGCCCCTTAACTTTTATGTCTAGGTTATTTACACGTTCATCAGCTACTAATTGTTTACTGGTATAGACAGACTCTGCTCAGCAACCAGGTTTTGCCCTGCCTGAATTCATAAAGGCAAGCATTATACCAGGGATTAGGATGATCCTCTGTGGGTTCCATTCAGAACAACTAATTAAACACTTTGCCACTCTCTGCTGTATTTGTTGGTGCTGGGCGTCTTACCCTCTGACGGGATAGGCTCCGCTTGGCTCTGAGCCGTTCAACATGACATAGATCACTCCAGAGCTATCTCTTGAATACTGCAAAAAAAAAGAACTGGAATCATCCTTAGTAAGCTGAAACATGCCTCTTTATCTTCTAATTTCATAGATAAATGAAATTAGGTAATTTTTATTGATAATTCTCAACATGGGAAAATGTGGTATTTCTGCATGACTAGAAGGCAGGTAGGGGCTGGGGAGATAGCTCAGGTACCTAAGTGCCAGCCTGGCCAGTGCAAGGTCCTGAGTTCAATCACCAGTACCAAAAAAAGAAGAAAAGAAAAAAAAATAGAAGGCAGGCAAACTGGTTTATTTTGCAAAGCCAATTGCTTTCAAATGTCAAAATTTCATAGTAATAGCATGTCTCAGACTCTAATTATAAGGTGACATGAACTACACAGCATGGCGTCACACACTGGAGTCAACCAGGTCAAGCTGCCAAAACAAACAGCCTCAAACTCCCAGTGACTTGCACAACACTGTCTTTGAGCGCACAGTTCATGTCGACCATATGCCCATCCGGGTCTTGCTCACTGTGTTTTCCTCAAGCTGAGGAAGTTTCCACATGTGTAAAGTCACTCGTTGTCGGGGAAGAAAAAAGGTGAAGAAGCCCTGGTCAGTTCTTAAGGGTTTCTCCCCAGGAGTCACACAGTCCCTCCCCCTCAGCCCTCAATGGCTGATGTACATTGCATGCAAATAGCAAGCCACATGTGCAACAGACCAAAGAGAAATGTGTGGTAAACAGCATTAAGGAACCCGCAGAGCACTCTGCACAAAGATGTGCACTGCAGCGTTCCTCCGGGTACCAAAATATAGTAACCAGTTTTGAACAACCACGGGGTACTTACATGTCTCAAATAGTAAGCAGCCATTAGCAAAAGTCTACACAGTATTTGAAACACAATAGAAGAGTCTGTCTTTGAAGCAAAATGCACAATTAGGTGAGCAGAGCATGAACTCCACTAGATTAAAAATAAGCAGCATCGGGAGATGCCGCTACGGAGTGCAGCACTTGGTGAGCTCTCGCAAGGCCTCAGGTTGAACCCTCGCATCATAAAATAGGCAAATAAAAAAGTAAACGACGAGGAACTCCCAAGAAAGAGAGCTCCAGGTAAATTTCCAGTTCAGAATACTAATGGAGGAAATACAATTTTCCTCATAAAATTTGATGCTGGAATACAGTTGAGATGAGAACGAGCCAGAATCCCTGAGACATACAGTGCTGGGTTTGCTCTCTGGAGAAGTGACGCCCAATGTTACCTGCACCAGAACAACGACACAGTATACATCATCCATGTCTCATTGTCTCGAAATAGTGCTAAGAAAATTAGATCCTCAAATCAGAGCTCTGATGAGGATGATGCTAAAGAGCTTGCAGTAAGGGGGTGGTAGGAATATGTATGACTTTCACTTATATTTTCTATAACTTGTCATTTTCTGTCATAAAAAGCCATTGTATTTTCTATATTATGTCATAAAGAATACTCTCGAGGTGGAGGCAGGAGCATTGCCATGAGTTTGAGGTCAGCTTGGGCAGCAGAGTGAGTTCAAGGCCAGCCGGAACTACAAGCAAGATTCTGTCTCGGAAAAAATACTAACTTAATACCTGGACTTGAGATGTATCTCAGCAGTAGAGCACTTGCCTAGCATATATAAGGGTCTTGCTTTAATCCTCAGCACCACGAAAAATCAATACTAATAACTTAATACAAATTGAATGCTGACCTAGTCAGGTTCAAGTCCTCTGCGTGCACTACACTATCTTTCTCATGTTTTCAGTCCTCAGCATGATCAAGGGCCTCAAAACCTTCAAAACTGTGAGCCCTGTTAGTAGTTTCCCATTACAGCAGTGGAAGAATAAGACGGTGATGGGACGTCTGGCAGATCCCTTATTAGCACGTGGCTCTTCACATACCACGTTGCTCTGTCCCCGGGGTTCTTGTTCCCATCCCACCCACCGGCACTGGCACAGCCATGGGCTCCCAGGCCTTAGTGGGGGGCTCTGGCAGTTACTGCAGCTGGCTGGAATCTGCACTCCAGGTGACACCCCTAGAAAGTGAGGCTGCCAGGTGAGCAGAGCCCACAGCACAATACCTCCTGACTAGAGGGGACCCTTTGCTTAGCTCCCACCTGCAGCTACAATCCTTCACCCTGACTATTCAGTGCATCAGACCACAAAAGATGGCACCAAAGGGACACGATATCCCTCATAGGGCAGACACTGGAACCCACCTGTGTCCACCTGCTTCCTGGTCTACCCAGTGAATGTTTCATCCTCAGCAGCCCTTGGAGGAACACTGAGCTAAGGACCCAACCCTCTTCCTCTTTAATCTGTACTATAACCCTGCTGAAAAACAAAATGTAAAAGGCAATCACTAGCATTTTATAGCTATTGAAAACCATCTTCAATTCTGGTGACATTTTCTAAAAAACAGACCTACCTTCAGGAGACTATTTCTGTGTCTCCAGCTTAGCCAGAGCTTCCCATTGTCTCCTGGTGCACTAATGTACACCTCAAGCTTGGGTATCCCAAGGGGGTTCAATCCCCAGGCCTGCTGTGCCAGCCCTCCCCCAGCGGTGCACTGAGACTGCAACTGAGACTGAGCATCGTGGCATGCACCTGTAATCCCAGCTCTTGGGAGGCTGTAAACAGGTGGATCACTATGAGTCTGATCTAGTAATGAGACCCTGAACGTCCTGTAGACCCTTCCCTAAAATACAAAAAAATAAAAAATAAAAGTAATAATGACTATGCAACATGTAAAAGACCAACTATTTGTTCTACTACCTTGGCTTATTCAGTAGAGACTGCTCTATTTGTAGACAATTGGACAAGAACTGCTGATGAGAGCTGAAAGGTTTAGCAAGAAATTAATAGAAAATTACAAACCCAAGCAGGCATCTTAGGGACCTCTCCGTCCTTTGGATGGGAGATCAAATTGAAAGTTTGCAATTACATCAAAGATGAAAATGTCCCTGTACTATGACTCGCTTTTGCATCACTCCCTTACCATACACTAAAAGCTGACGTCCTTGGGAAATAATCCAATTATACACTCAAGGGGCAATCCATCGAAATATTACCGTGGATATAGATGCTTTTCAGAGAAAAGTGCTGCCTGTGTCGCAGCAGATGGCCGCATTTGACGCCCAGATTAAAGACTGGCATACATTTGCCGATGCTGCAGAACAATTAAATTCATGGGCACGTCTCAAGGCTCACTTCCGGTTTACACTGGAATGGGTGCGCTCATTCTCTTGCTTATAACTCTTCTCATCAAAGAATGTTGTAGAGGATTCACAGCCCGGGAGGACCAGAAGCCACCCCTCCAAGACCGACTGCTCCAGTTTCTTCAAAGCAAAGAGGGAGGAACTGTGGCGGGCCACCTGGGGGACTCCGCTTGAAAGAAGAGCAATGGGACCCACTTTGGGTAAGCCTAGCCCTATTTCCATATATTCGTATGTTCAGAGCCGGCTAGGACTTTTCCTAATCCCCCCAGTTGGCTCTAAGGAATGGAAATGGGTCCAGCTGAGTACAGATGGACTTTGAAGTAAGGCAGGACAGGGCAGTGGTGCCCTGCCCCGTACCCCCCAAGAAGCTTGTGTGAGCGGGCAGGAGGCAGAGCCACGCTCCATGCTGTCCGCGGGGATTGAGCTTTAGTCTTCAGGACTGAAGCACCAACCTGGAAACATGAGAGACTGCCTCAATTGTACTACGCGGATCACTCTTTCTGCAGATTCTTCTCTCTGCGTCTAGCACAGGTGACTTCAGGCCTCCTGCCCAGCCCAGCTCACAGCCCTCTCCTACTTCTCCACACTGGCAAGATCACAGATCCCTGAGCCATTCCCTTCATGGATTAATAAATCCTGCATTGAGGCCTTTGTTCCACTTAGCCATTATATTACCTTACCTGCACTTAGGACTCCCTTGCCTCCCCACAGCTACAAGTATGCTTTGTCTCTTTATTTTTGCCATGGGTTCCAGTGGAAGTGGTAGATTGGGATTAACCGGCTAGGATTCTACTGGATTCCAAATATAAACTTCACAGACCAATATGAGGACCAGGAAGGGCTCTCAGCAGTACTGCCGTTATGTCTGGGAAACATTTACTGAATGCTTTTTCTGTGCCAAACACTGCATTAAAATCCCCTTTCTTGGGCTGGAGAGATGGCTCAGTGGTCTAAAGCACCTATTTAGAACAAGCTTAGTAAAGCATCAGGAAC